AAAAGGAAGATCAAATAAAATGAAGAATGATAAAACAAACAATTTATTTTTGTCATGAATCCGCAGATCTGTTCCTGTGAAGTTGTAGTCGTAGTGATGATAATGTGATCAAAATGGCTTCCTAAATAGAGAGAAATATCTTTCAGTATAAAGCATAATAATTTGTTTCCATATGTTCACCTAGAAATGCATGAATTATTTTTGCGAAAACCCCCCCTTTTTTTTTTACAAAAAAAACAATATCTCTAAAATAAAATTTTGAATCAAAACCAAAAAGTATACAGATCTTTAGATTAATATAACTAAAAAGTGTGTAAAATTTTAAGCAATAATCATAAATCGTTTTTGAGATACGGCGCGACATGTGAAAAAAACCCTCCCCCTTTTTTTACAAAATACTCAATAACTCAAATATAAAATTTTGAATCATCACCAAAAAGTATACAGATCTTAAGATTAATATAACTAAGAAGTGTGTAAAGTTTTAAGCAATAATCATAAATTGTTTTTGAGATACGGCGCGACATGTGAAAAAAAACACACACCTGTTTTAGTTACTAAGTCCCGTAACTCAAAAAGTATACAGATCGTTTGACCTTCATAAGAAACAACTATTTTAAGTTTCATGAAATTTGGATAAGTCGTTCTCAAGTTACGGTGCGACATGTTTACGCCGGACAGACAGATGGACAGAAGGACATTTGTATACCATAATACGTCCCGTCAAAATTTTGACGGGCGTATAAAAACTATGAAAGAAGGAGTGTTTTGGGCCTGTAAATATAAAAAAAAAATTAAAAAGGTTCTCCTGAACACTTTGTCTCGTCTGGACTGCTGTTGGCAGTATAAATTGAATGTTGACTGACAAAAAATAAGTCCTTTTATTAGTAAAATACTGAGAACAGAAAAGAAGAAAACTTTGCTTAGAATGCTATGTCTTGATTATAAAGAAGCCTCTGTCCAACTTTTGTAACATTCCATGAAGAATTGACAAAGATATTTAAGTTTTAAAATCTTTTACCACAGACTGTACCTAAATATTTAAGGTGAACAATAAGTCCATTATTTAGTTAAGTACAGCGAAACGATGAACAAAATGTAAATTTTACTCTTGATAGTAACTTTTGATTTTGAGATGCTTCTGTAAAAATTTCAAGAAATTCTATGAAGGTTTGAAAAAGGTTATTAAAGTTTTAAAAACTTAAAAAAAAAAAAAGCATCTGAATATTAACTGCAAAAATTTTTATCAGTAAAACACAGAAAAGTAAAAAAAAATGTTTAAACTTCAGTTCTGTCCAAGTTATTTGATGTCTAAAAAACTTTAACTCCAGAATGTATCCAAATGGTAATTAAAAAATACTATTCCCATCTATCAGTAAAATACAGAAAAATAGAAAATATGTTTTCAAAATCTTGTATCAGATGCTATCTCTTATTAATACAGAAGCTTCTGTTCCAATTTCATAAAATTCATGAAGGTTTGACAAAGTTATTGATTTCTACCGTAATTGGCCCTGTATAGTTCGCACTGTTACATTAGGTAAATTATTAGTTTTGAAAATCATAAGATCACCCTCTACAATTTCAATAACAAACCTGGTGGAACTTAAAACAAACCTTGCGAAATCAAATTTTTCTCTTATTTCTTGCTTATCATACTCTATAATCTGCACCCCTTGTGGCAGATTCAATTTTGGAGAATAAAACCGTGGACTATACAAGCCTGAATTGGGTAATAAAACTTTAACCCCAGACTATATCTATACATTGTGCATATTCAAAAGGCTGTGTCCTTTCACAATACTAATTTTCTAAAATGTTTTTCCTTATTGAATAAAATTGAGAATGGAAATGGGGAATATGTCAAAGAGACAACAACCCAACCAAAGAGCAGACAACAGCTGAAGGCCACCAATGGGTCTTCAATGCAGCGAGAAAATCCCGCACCCGGAGGTGGTCCTCAGCTGGCCCCTAACTAAAATTGTATGCTAGTTCAGTGAAAATGGACGTCACACTAAACTCCAAAACATATAAATGAACTAAAATTAAAAAACATACTAGACTAACAAAGTTTGGAAGTTTGGATTCATCTTTTCAAATTGATCAACTGATAAAATATTTTAGCTAATTGATAGTAAAAGGTTACTTTTTGGGTAGCAATAATTGTGCTTTATTCTATTTCTCTGTATGTGTATGTATAAAGTCAAGGTTTAGTATAATTTTGTCACTTTGCCACATTTATTGTTATATCAAGTCCATGTAAATCATGAAAAGAAAATAATTAAAAAAAAATACACAAAGTTGAGCAATGGAAGCACATAGGTCTATGGTTCACTGTAGGAGGAGTTATCCAGAAATGCTATGCATCTCTTATGCAAGTATACACTCCAAAAATGACAAAGTTCAATTATCTCCCAAAAGAGCAAATATTAATAAAAATCAAAACCCTGACCACATGCACACCTTCAATATATGTACAAACAGCCAGCAAAGTGAAAACTTCCTAGCATTCAAACTGTAGGAGGAGTTATCCGGAAACGCTATGCACCTCTTATGCAAGTACATACTCTAAAAAATGACAAAGTTCAACTATTTCCCAAAAGAGCAAATATCTTGAATAACTATATACCGCTGATGGGACGGATGGACGGACAGGGGTAAAACAATATGCCCCCCCCCCCACTTTTAGTTGCGAGGGCATAAAAAGCCTGCCTATTGTTGCCTCCGAAGACCTAAGAAGCATTCATGGTATAGCATGAAAACACAAACTTAGATACCTAATTTCAAGAATGTCTCATTTGTATTTTCATGACAAATAAAATAAAAATTTAATAGGACAGACAAAAGGTTACACACAGACAGATGGAGTGAATACACATAGACAGATGGACTGAATACACATAGACAGATGGACTGAATACACATAGACAGATGGACTGGAGTAAAGCAGAATAGCCTCTCCTTTGGAACATGGGGTAAAATAACAATGCCATGACTTATGGATAACTTACTTGTTCACAAGATTCTGTAGTTTTTGTACAGGCTCTGGTTCACCAGCTTTTCTAGGTAATACTTCCTTGCAGCCATCAACATTAATGTTAAGAGCAGTATCCTGTGATACTTGGTAATGATGTTCATTGTCCTCTGGTTGGCCAGCTTTTCTTGATAATTCTTCATTACAGTCATCAACTTCAAAACTTACAGCAGCTTCTTGTGATACTTGGTAAAGATGGTCATTCTACTCTGGTTGCTGTTTGGTGTTCTGGAAAAAAAACCAATGCTTATGCTACAACATCACAGTAAGAAATGATTGTTCAATGACATCATTTACCGGTACACTGATTGACCTTGGGTCAACTAGAGAAACCCATTCATAAAAAACAACTTAAGATTAATCTATATATCTTATTACTATTAGGATTTTTTGACACTTGATTTGAGATTTTGTGATATTTGACTTTTTGACTTCATATAACAATCCCTTTTACACTGTGGTGTCACACTTTTTCTCTTGTGATGTCAAAATTTACACCAATGTCTGTGATATTCAGTAAAGGCTGTAATAAACTAGATGCTCTAAAGAGCCTGTGTAGCTTACCTGGATCTATGCACATTTCCAACATTGGAGACTTGGATATAATTAAAAAATCTCATTTCGTTGATCTTGTATTGCTGACCATTTTTACTGGTTCCAGTTTCTCTATATCTAGTTTTTGCCCAGAATACAAACAAATGGTTAAAATTGTCATTCAAGGACAATAACTTCCATAAGAAGTGCATTGACAATTTCTGCTTTGTTGTTTGTCTTGTCTATCTGATCCTTTTTGGCTGTTTACAGTTTCTCTTTATCTTCTATATATTGGTTTTGAAAAAAAAAAAGATTGCCCCCCCCTCTTGCATTATCGAAAGTGCCAGGAGTAAAACCAAGCTTTTGCACTACTCTAGCCAACATTTTTAAAGTAACTGGTAACAAAAACATATTGTATATAGATCTATCTATTGTTATAGATTGTATCATTTGTATATATGTTACTCTCTAGATGTTTTTTTGGTTATTTTTGTTGTTTAGTTTTTGTTTTGTGGGTGTATACCACAAATTTCCTTTATTCATAGTGATATTACATCGTGATTGAGGCTAAATGATTAGGAAAATTTTTTTTTACATTAATTATGCTTCTATCGCTTATGATTCAGTTTGCTAATACTGAATTTTGCAAAAAAAAAGTAAATTCAACGAACACCCTGAACTTTGAGCAAAACATGTATGTGTCTGGTAGAGATCCCTCTCATTGGCAATCTTCTTGTTTTTATATGTGTATGTTTACTTACCTTAATCACTGAATTGGAATTCTTTACAGATTCACTGCTTCTCTTGGTTAAACAGCAACAATGAAAATAAAAAGGTAGAAAAGATCACTGCAACTAGCATACAAATATAGATAGTTAAGTGGCTGCTTAATAGACAGTAGCAAATATTACATGCATATTGAGTACGATAACATATTTTGTAAATAAGATTTGAATTATACCCAGATACGGTTAATTAAGAAATAACTTATAGGGGCTTGAATTTATATTGATTTTACCATGGGTTGGCCTTTTATTTCAAATATTTTACCATGAGTGATAGTGATCAGATCAAAGCTCTCTGGACCAAGACAAATATTTGTGGTTCCCATAATTGAACACACTACAAATATTGTTTGTAAAAAGCATAGAAAACTGAATAAGTGACATACTTAAATGATTTTCAATTACAGGAACTAAACATATTTAATCAAACAGATTTTTACTTAAGAAATCATGCTTTCAACAAATTTGTATCATAAAGTCTGTTTATATGTTTCCATGTTTAGTTATAAATGCCTATAACATCGCAGTAAATTGAAACAGACAAAAGAACACATGATGTGCTGATCAGCTGACATACAATATATACTAATTTTATGGACCCAAATGTTTGAAGGACTTCATATTATGTTACCCATCTAATTTTCTATGTGGTGCAATAAGTTTGTCGAATTCCTTCTCATTAACTGTCCATACTCCTTCATTCTTTTCATTTGTTACTCGGACAAAACATTTATTAAAACTCAGAACTTGTCTGGCATTGTTCTACAAGCAAAAATAACAAAAAATGTAATATCTTTTAGGAAAACCAGCTTTTAATTAATTGATTAGTGTTTACACACCACTTTCAGCACTATTGGCTATTTTGTGGTGGTCAATTTTTATTGGTGGAGGAAGCTGGAGTGCCAAGAGAGAACTACAGACCTTCGTCAGAAACACTGAAAACCCTAGTCAATTAAGGTTGGAGTCAAATGCACCTGCCAGGTGCAGTGTTCGAACTCACAACCTCACTTTTTCATTAAGAGTTAAATAATAAATACACTAGTTGCCATTAGACACTTGTATCAGATACTTCGGGTGCCACATGTGGAGCATGATCTGCTTACCCTTCCAGAGCACCTGAGATCATCTCCAGTTTTTGGTGGGGTTCGTGTTGCTGTTGTACCCCTGTTTGTGCCATTTTTACCTATTGTGTCTGTTTGTTTTGTTCACACATCGTTGTCAATATAATGGAATTTGATGCAACTGTCATACAAGTGAGAGGTTTAGCTAGCTTTAAAACCAGGTTTAATCCACCATTTTCTACATAAGAAAATGCCTGTACCAAGTCAGGAATATGACAGTTGTTATCCATTCGTTTGATGTGTTTGAACTTTTGATTTTGCCATTTGATTGGGGACTTTCATTTTTGAATTTTCCTCGGAGTTCAGTATTTTTGTGATTTTACTTTTTGTATTCTAACATGGCATTCAGTTTTGATGTCAAAAGTAAGAAAAATAAACTGAGAGTGATCACAACATTCTTATTAAACCTCTTTAAAAAGATGAGACACAAAAAGTGATGTGTGAGTGTGTGTGAATGTAAATTTCCTAATATTCTCTAAATGTTGATCAATCACGTTAACCTATAAACATATTTATTTTATTCTTTTAATAAATCAGTTATGAAAAACCTTACTGAATATTTGTTGATTTATTCATATGTTGCTAACCTTTATGTCATTTGGTCTCAGGAGAAAATTGTCTCATTGGCAATAATACCACATCTTCTTATCTTTATATAAAACAATTTGAACTAAAAGAAAATCTCTATTTTCAAATCTAAAAAATATCATCATTTGAATTTCAAATTTATTTAATAGAGAATGACTATTTATATTTAGATTTATAGAATCTCAATTTCCATATTTAATAGTCTAAAACAACGGCCAATTATTAAACAAAACAACTGCTAATTATTAAACTGATATGATCCTGATTTCAAAATTTAAATGAGAATCAATATCTATACTAAATATAATTAAATTGATAGAATCTTGATTTCCAATCTAACAGAGAACTGGTATTGATAATAAGACAGATAGAAAGAGAGCCTTATGACATACTAACCTTCATTGTGGTTATATCATCAATCTGTTTATATGAATATGCATTGTGTAACCATCGATAGATTTCACTTAATGTTAAGTTACGGTTAGGAGATTCTACAATAGCCTGAAACAGAAAAATTGTTTGTTACCTCCCTTTAATAAATTTCAATATTTTTTATGCTTTAGACACACGTAATTGATTTTGGATAATATTTGTCAAATATTTCAATCTCAAGTTGTTTTTTATGAATGAGCAACACCAGTTGACCCCAGGTCAATCGGCTTAAACAACATCATTGCACATTCAGTTCATTTTTTTTTAACAACATAATTAAATATTTATTTCAATTATTGGCTTGTTACAATATCCTTCAGGAGTCCAAGCTCCTCCTGATGTTCCCTGTTACATTTCACTAATCACTCAGGGCAGTAATTAGTTGTAAAATTTATATTACATCAAATATATATTAAATAATATCACTCATAATGATTATTCATATGTTTTCTAATGGTTGCTAAAACATTACTTTTGATTGTCATTGTCAAACATACTCTTCTATTGAACTCATTAAGAAAAATTGAGAAAACATTGACATTTTTTGTCTTTTGATCAGATATGTAATAGGCTTTGTAAATTGAAAAACCAACAATTGTTAAAAAATAGTTAAAGTTAAAATATTCTTCGTCTGAAGTTTTATATCCAAATAAAAAATGTCTTAATTTTATCTTACAAGTTATTTTACTCTTCTTTAAAACTTCATTTATTTTATTCCAAAAATGTTCTAAATACGGACATAGTATAAAGAAGTGATCATAATCTTCTTCTTGTGTACAAAAGTTACAAAACTATTGTTTACAATTTTCCACCTGAATAATTTTCTTTGTAGGTAGAATATGTTGTAGTAATTTCCATCTAAAAATTTTAAGTTTATTTTCTTTTAAATATCTGAATAAAAATTTATATAAATTGTTTCGATATAACACATCATCTATATCAAGTATACACAGCCATTTTTGGGGTCCAATAGCTGGTTCAAATTTTTTATTTATCAGAGATTTATATAAAAGTTTGTTTGATAATGATTCTAATTTTATAGGTAAACCTTTCCATATAAATTGGTTTCTTTTTATATTTACAGTACTTTTTACAGAATTTTCCGACTTTAAAATTGCTACCCAGTCTTTTGGTATTGATTTCTTTACCAAATTAATTTCAGCTAGCCAGTTTGATTTATTTTTTAGTTTATTAAAAATGATGTCTTGAGAAATGCAGCCTTTTTCATCTATGATATCATTTACATAAATAAGATCGCTTTTAATCCAATTTTTTAAAACTATAGCTTTATTTTCAAATTTAATAAATTTATTGTTCCATAATATTTGTTTTCTTATATCTGTAAATGTTTCAGGTTTTTTCATTAGACCTCCTCCAGTCAATTTCCAACATTTAAGGATATTTTTATAAAAATCTGGGATATTTTCAAGGCTTTCGTCTGGCTTATCCCCACTGTTTGTTTGAAACACTAACCAGTTTGACCCAAAATTAAAAAATATGGCTGAGGTATAATTTTCCAACCTCCTTCACAATCAGTTACTAGTCTTTTAACCCACATAGCTTTTAAAGCAGTGAAATAACTTCTTATATCTATCATATCTAATCCCCCCTTTTCAAATGGACCATTGATTGAATTTCTTTTTATTTTATCTGGTTTATTATCCCAAACAAATTTAAAACAACTTTTTTCTATTTCTTTCAAATATTTCTCTGAAACTATACAGGCAGTTCCCACAAAAGTGAAAATAGGCACAATTAGTGTTTTAATAATCAAAATTTTTCCAAAAATAGTAAGATTTCTTTTCTGCCTACAACAAAATAATTTATTCATCTTTTCGATTTTATTTTCCCAATTTAGTTTTTCACATTCCTCTCTACAATGCCCAAAGTATATGCCAAGAGTTTTGACTGGTCCATTGCTCCAGTTGATTCCCTCAATTTTGTCTTTACATGATTTAAGCTTTCCTACCCATAAACCCTCTGTTTTATTTCTGTTTAATTTCAATCCTGAATAAGAACCAAATATTTCAATTTCGTTCATAGCTAACTGAACGTCATATTTAGAACAACAAAATAAAGTAGTATCGTCTGCTAGTTGCGAAATTTTTATGCTATGATTTTTGCATTCCAATTTGATTTTGATACCTTTAAAATCGGTATTGCTTCTTAATCTTGACTCCATGATTTCCACCGATAAAACAAATAATAATGCCAATAAAGGACATCCTTGGCGTATACCCCTGGTGTTTTTAAAGACATCAGATATCCAACCATTATTCATAACACATGTTTGAATATCGCTATATAAAGTCTTAACCCATCTTATAAAAGAATCATTAAATCCAAAATGTTTTAAAACTGAAAACATAAAATTCCATTCTAAAGAGTCAAACACTTTAGAAAAATCAACAAAGACTATAACCCCTTCAATTTTGTATAAATCAGTGAAATCAATTCTTTACATATCCAGTCTGGTCTTCTTTAATAATTTTTGGTAGGATCTTTTTCAATCGTTGTGCTAGAGCGTACGATAGAAGCTTCATGTCAATATTTAAAAGGGAAATAGGACAGTAATTATTTAGTGACAATGGATCACCTTTTTTGAATAATAGCGTTAATACACTTGTACGCTGTGAATATGTAAGTGTTTGATCTTTATATCCAATATTAAGAATGTTTACTACTATGTACTTTAATTTATCCCAAAATTTTCTATAAAATTCAACTGTTAATCCGTCTAAACCAGGAGATTTATTAAGTTTCATTTTATAAATAGCATCTGAGCATTCTTCTACTGTAATATCCCCATCGCAGACTGATTTATCATTTTCATCCATTTCTTTCTCTAGTTTTGTCTCAAATATATATTTATCACTTGATGTTTTATCAGGGCTTTGCGTCGAGTATAACTTTTTATAGTACTCTTTAATACTACATAGTATATCACTTTGATCCGTTAAAATCTCATCATTTTCTCCTTTTAATTTATTGATTGACTTTTTTACCTGCCTCTGTTTTTCTAAACCTAAAAAGTATGAGTTATTTTTTCCCCAAATTCAACCCATTTCTCTCGTGATCTAATTTGAGCCCTTTTAGCCTTTTGTTCGTAAATTTTGGTATTTTTATTTTCAAGTTCTTCAATACCTTTATCTAAAATGTTATTCTCAGATTCTTGCTCATCTCTAATTTTCAATTTTATTTCTAATTTTTTTTCAAGAGTTCATAAGTTTTCTCTTGTAAATTTTGCTTTAGTTTTACAATAAGCTATAGTTGCCTCCCTTACCTTTATTTTAAATATATCCCATGCTAAACCAAGGTTTTTTAAATTACGATTATTCATAAAGCAGCTATCCATTTCTTTATTAACTAATTGTATGTAGTCATTATCTTCTAATATAGAATTATTTATTTTCCAGTACCCCCTTCCGGTTTCTGATGCACCAGTTTAAATTTCATAAAAACACTTTGATGATCCATAGAACCAATAACTGCAGGTTTAATTTTGCAACATTCTACTTGTGGTATGAAGTCTGAGCCTATCAGAATCATATCAATTCTACTTGCCTGTGATTTATCTTTTCTTCGCCAAATATATTGTTGTTTATTTTTATTTGAATATCTCCAAATGTCTGTTAAGTTATTTATTTTTATTAAAGATTTTAAACTATTTACTGATTGGATATTTTTTACCTCTGAACGAGTAGTTTTTCTGTCTATAGCTTTCATCGTATCATTGAAATCTCCACCCATTATTGTAATTCCTATCCCTTGTTCTTTTAATATATCATTTACTTTTTTGAAAAATATATTTCTATTACTTTTGCAATTAGGTGCATATATACACATTAGTGTAAAAACGCTTTCATCACTTTCTACATTAAGAAGAACTAATCGTCCATCTACATCGTTATGTTTATTTATCAACTTATAATTCAGTGACTTTTTAATGAGAATAGCCACACCCCTACAAGAGGCCGTTCCGTGACTGCAAAATATATCATACTCTGAATTATTTCTTATTTCTGTTTCTATGTTTTCATCAAAATGAGTTTCTTGTAAAAAACAAACAGAACAGTTTTCAGATTTAATCCATTCAATTACTCTGTCTCTTTTAGATTTATTTTTAGTACCATTCACATTTAAACTACTTAAGTTTATCAAAAATTTAGATGCTATTTCAAAGTATGATTTCATATTTTTGTAATAGCTCCTCACATAACTGTACATGCCTACAAACAGTACAGTTAAAACACATTTTTATAACAATCATACAGAAATCGACAATATACATCACTCTATTTCTACTAACATAAAAAGTACAATTCATCAGGTAACATATAATTACAGGTAACAAATAAAACACGCTACCTGTGAATACAGCATTTAATTTACTGGCCTGATTTGACCTTGTTATGTTAAAATCGATAGACAATAAAATTGACACTGAAATATTCAACAGCCACCATGTGTGATTCGTTACAGTCTTACAATGTGTATTCGGATGGATATATGTTTCTGATATACGTGTCTTATTCACATAATTTTATCTAAATAAGTGAAATGGATAATGTAAACACATTTAAAATAATAATAAATGTAAACTTCACCGTTTTTCAAGGCTTCTATAGCTGTTTTGTTGGCTATGTTTACTAAAGAAGTAACTTCTTTGGAAGAATTAGATATTTGAGATGTATTTAGTAGGAAGTGTAGAGGAATTCAGTTCTTACTGTAACGTAATAACATAAGCATTGAGACAAATTTACATGAAAGTGCACGTGAACTTTACAAAAAAGAAATTGGTATTTTTCATTTTTTTAAATAAATTTGAAAATTTAGATGTTATTTGAATTACTTTATTTTAAAAATTAACGTGAATTTCATGTGAAAAAAATTCATGTGATTTTCACGTGTGTTTCACATGAGATTCACTTGAAAGTTGAAACTCGCTTGAATTGATTTAACGCGAGTTTCAAGTATAAGCTCGTTTGAGGTGAAATTCACGTGAGATTCACATGAATTTCACGTGAGATTCACATGAATTTAAATTCAAGTGAAATTGATGTGAGTGAAATTTGCCTGTGTATAAATTTCTAGTCTGTGACATTGAATATTTTAATTTACATCAACAGTAAACAGTGGAGCTCACAAACACAGCATTCATTTATTGAGGCAAAATTCTATCCCAAGAAATTAAATGTGTCTAAAGAATCTCAAAATTGTGAAAAAGTCATTGTACAGATTTTGTTATAAGTTTCTCTTCATTAATATAGTGTTATCAGATGAACCAGACTTCAGTAATGGGTAACTTATCCAGAAAATTAAGACACCAAATTATCATTTACCCTTTCGGCAAAATCATACTTAGGGCTATTCCATTAAAATGTATGTGGGAGGGTAGGAAGGGAAGTTTAATTATTGAATGTGGGTCATGGGTCTTTTTTCAGTATGCGTCTATAACCATTATGCAAAATTATCTAAAAAATGGTTCTTGGTTGTAGGGATATTTTGAAAGTCCCTTCCTACCCTCCCACATACATTTTAATGGAATAGCCCTTAGAAGGCTGAAAGTGATAATTGCGGTTTAGCAATTCAGTTTAAATTAACTGTCAAAAAGTAGCTTCAATTCTGAAACAGATTTTTAAGATGTTAAATATTATCATTATTTTTTAGGTTTTTTTTTTCAAGACTTTTTGATTGGTGGCAGATCTTGATAGTTTCTGCTTAATCTATATACAACTTTGATAGATTACAGAAGATTTGGAGCATGACATTTTATATGAACAATTGTGAATTGTTGAACACAGTATGTTGAAGTTTTTATGTTATTTTTGTCGCTGGGTTGATGTCTCACTGACATATACTTCACACACCTTATATTCACTTTAATCAAACAGAAATCCAAAATTAAAATTTTTACAGAAAGGAGTTTAATGCTAACTTCTCATCTAAAAAAAAAGATTCTGCAAATTATAATAAATCTCTTAATACACAACAGAAGGAGATGATTTCTTGCTTATCTGTATCTTGATGTAAAATTGAGAAATGTTATTTTGCAGTTATCAGATTTTTTGTGACAGGTGATTTGCACTTTTATTTCAAAGTAAACCTTCTGTTGTAAAATTTCTAACAGCTATAACAGTAATCTGTAGATTTTGTTTGCTGTAACTAGTGGGGCAGAAACAAATGACCTTTCTAAAACACCTAGACTTGCTACAATTCCCTTTCTTTAATTTTTTTCTTACTAATTTATATGTTTACTGAAAACTGACAGAGAACTCCTCTGCAGATGTCAGTATAATGGAAATCTCTTAGTTATAGCAGTAAAATTGTTACAGGGGCAAAATTGAAAAAAATAAATTAGGAAGGGACATGAACAAGTCTATAGAACATCTGGAATCACTTCTGTTTTTTCCAGGGTTGTATTGCTTAATCTTTAGTTTTCAATGATGTGTTGAGTGGATTGATGTTTGTCTTTTTATCATTTTTCTTTCAGCAATAATATTGTCTGTTTTTGTTCATTTTTAATTGCCCATTTCATATTTACTGCCCCTTTTTTAAATAGTACCTTGAAAAACCATCAATATTATTGTAAACAATGATTGTAATTTTATTTTTATTTGTGTTCAGTGTTTATCGGTAATATTACCTGTGGTATCTATTAATTGATTGTTGGTGCTTAACCTCACTTTCAGCACTATTGGCTATTTCATGGTGGTCAGTTTTTATTGGTGGAGGAAGCGGGAGTGCCCAGAGAGAACCAGTGACCTTTTGCAAATAAACTGTCAATCCTAGTCAATTAAGATTAGAGTCAAATGCACCTGCCATGTGAGGGGTTCCAACTCACAACCTCAGTCTTGACAGACTAGTGATACAGTAGTTGGACTACTTACCTGTCGTATCAAAGAGGCATATGTAAATGGCCGAGGGGGTCTCCTTATGTAAACTTTTCTTGGTTTCATTACTGAAAAAAGAAAAAAATTGTTGATATCAAAACTTACAGGTGTTTATGTATAATGTAATGCTTTTCAATTTATGTTGTATAAAAATTCATTAAGTTTGGGTAATTTCTTTTCTTATCATTGCCTCTTATAAACTCTTATAAAATTGAGAATGGAAATTGGGAATTTGTCAAAGAGACAACAACCCGACCAAAGAGCAGAAAACAGCCCAAGGCCACCAATCGGTCTTCAACAAAGCGAGAAAATACCGCACACAGAGGCCGGCTTCAGCTGGCCCCTAAACAAAAATGTATTCCTATCAAGTCATTAAAACTTGATGTCTTTCATCCTGCAGATTCTTATATTTTGGCATTGCATTGCATAAGATCATGTTTTTCTCAGACTGCTTATGACATCTTTTAACTGAATTTGTGAGGAGGATTCCACACTTGCAAACATGTTTACCCAAGCAACATTCTGTATGTGCCTGTCCCAATCCAGGAGCCTGTTGTCATAAGTTGCCATCTGTCATAATTGTTTCATTCAGGCTGTTAGATTATTTCTCATTTCTAATTGACTTCATAATGGTTTATCAGAAGATTTTTTTAATTTTGATTAAGATCTATATTTTCACTATTTTTCTAGTCTTGAAATTAAGGGATGACCATATTTCAATACCATATTTACCCCAGTCAATACTTGGGATTAAGTAACATAGGAAATAAAAGGACTCCAAAATATAAATGGGTAATTATAGTATATAACATGATACTACTGTTATGTGTTACAGTACCTTGTGTTTATTTACCAGATGCATACCTGCCAACTTTCATGATTTTGGCATGAACTACACAACTTTGACCCCTTGTCAGGATTGCACGATCGTGATTGTGAAAAAAGTCCTTTAACAAAATTTTGTAAAAACCTACAGGAAAAATTTGTTCATTCCCGGTTTTTAACTTTTCCCAAGGGAGACAATTAAGATCAGCAACAAATAGCAAATCACATTTGTATTTTTTTTTTATTACGTTTTCATCTCCTGATTAATTGGTGCATTTTAAAAAACCACAGAATGAAACTCGTTTGGAAGTTTTGAGTTGTATTCCTTTGTCTGTTTGTCAAAATTGTCAAAATTGTCAAAATTATGATAATGGTTATTGAATTATAATTTGCAAGAAAGTTCTTAAGTCACCTACATAGTAAAGCGTTGATCAATTGAGAGGCTGGTTGACAAATTTTACAATAGGGATAACACATGCCTTGTAAAGCAGGCAAGGACTGTTCAACTTCATAAGAAGTTCTTCACAGCTCAGAACACTACCAAGTCTGTCGGTAACTTCTTTGTACAACCAGATAATGAGCAACTCAAGACGGTCAAGCAAGCATATTCAGTAACACAAAAGAACTATTCATAAGACGTTTTCATATCTTTGAGTTAATTAAATCAGACTATTGAAATATGAACCAAGTTTAATACAAGTCAATGAAGTGTGTTTTCTTTGATAAAATTTGAGCTGAAGAGAGCAGTGCTACCATAAACATAATAAATAGTAGCTTATTTGGACATAACACTTATTGTAACTGGTCCATACATAGTCATAATTATTGTTATCAAATTTTCAAATTATTAAAAATCTTGTCCTTTATTTTTCACGAGGAAATTCAGATAAATGTTCTTTGTCCATATTTATATATGGAAAAGTCAGTTATAACTACACAAGAAAAGATTTTGCTGGTAATTAATCTAACTTAATGTACTATCTTTTCTACACATTAGGATGAGTACAAGAATCATCATCAGTATACCATATGAAAAAAGAAGAAAAGGGCTTATTAGCTCATCATCAGTATACCATATGAAAAAAGAAGAAAAGGGCTTATTAGCTCATCATCAGTATACCATATGAAAAAAGAAGAAAAGGGCTTATTAGCTCATCATCAGTATACCATATGAAAAAAGAAGAAAAATTACACATTTCTAGAGTAAAACACAGACATACAAAAACGACACAAAATTTGTAACCCTAAAAAATGTTGTTGCACACAAAAACCCCCATGGCGATTTTCAAAAGTTGGCTGGTATGCAGATGACATTGCCACTGTACCTGCAATATATGTTCCTCATCGACTGAAGAGTAGAATTCTGGCGTCTGTTGTACTTCTTCTTCCTTTCCAGGCGATTCCATTAACTTACAAAAAGAAAAATACAACAAATATAAATATTGAGCTCACAATGCTGGAATTACAGAGTGTAATAGCTTTATATGTAACATAGCTGTTCCATAGGATGCTTATGATAGCTAACTTGAAATTAATGTCAAAACATCTTTTGTATGACCTAATGATAATTTGTGCATATCTGCAGAGTCTCCAAAAATCATCTTAAATCCTGATTTAAATTATAGTTTTCATTTTTGGTATGTTATGAATCAAATTATTTTACTTTCAGAAAACACACTATATTTCCATTTTAAGATATTTAGTATGTCCTCGATGATAAAAATTATATGATTTGAGAAACACAAGTCAAGCATGAATGACCTTCAAAGTGTAACATGATTACCCCTAATTCCTTGTTTTTGAGATCTAGATACTGAAAAAGTCATGTGCGTATCAATTCTAAGCACATTCCCTGCAAGTTTCTTATCATATTATCTAGGTGATGATGAGTTATCCAGGTCATGTGACCTGTCATGCGATATAGATGATGAGTTATTCAGGTCATGTGATCTAGATGATGAGTGATCCAGGTCATGAGATCTGTCATGTGATCTAGACAATAGTCTTCCAGAACATGAGAACTGTCATGTGATTGAGCTGATGAGTCATTAATGTGAATGCTGTCTAAACACACTTACCACTGATTTCTTGTCATTTAATCTTGACGATGATGAGTCATCCAGTTCATGTGATCTGTCATGTGATTGAGCTGATGACTTATTCATGTGATCATCAAGTCTAAACATTGTAACTTACCTCTGATGTATTGTCATTTGATCTAGATGACTCCAAGTTATCCAAGTCAAGTGATCTGGATGGTGATGAGTTTTCCAAATCATGTGATCTGTCATGTGATCTAGACAATAAGTTGTCCATGTGAGTATCCAGTCTTGAAACGTTCCCTTCTGGTTTCTTGTCATATAATCTGGACGATGCTGAGTTGTCAAGGTCACATGATCGAGATATTGAGTTGTCCACATTTACCATTAGTTTTTTGTCATGTGATCTAGAGGATATACTATTCTTTTGAGTATCAATGCTGTTGTCATCACAGTTTGAATTTGAACTTACAAATTGATCTGAAACAGAATTCTGTAGAAATTTATACAAAATTGTCATAAAAATATGCCAACATTTGCCACAAATTGTAATTGTAGAAAATATGCCTGCTAAAGTCCTGACTTGGTACAGGCATCTTACATTAAAAAAACATGTGTGTTGAACTGTGTTTTATGATCAGCAAAAACTTCAATTTGTAAGACCAATCTGTTTTGTCCCAATCTACCGATGCATCTTAGGTGAAAGCAAAAACATAAAAACATATGCCATGTTGATACAATTTTACAACTGAACACAAGGATTATTGTTGCCAAGAGAAGTTTAAATTGGTTTCAGCCATTTTTTAAAGGCTAAACACACCATAAGATCCAGAGGGATAGACCTCAATAGATCAAATTTGAGATTCTTAATGATACATCAAACTCATGATCTCAAACCTGTTGTACCTTGTTTGTCATCACTGTCTACTGAAAACACTTCCTCACATTCCAAGTGAAGTGGAACACTTTCATCTTGAGTCTCTTGACCCGCTGTTATAAATTCTTCTGACATAGATTTATTTTCACTTTGCTGACTGTCACAGGACAGTTCTGGTGGTTCATTGCTGCAAGATACAAGTAATGAAAAAAATATTTTTAATAATATAATGTAAAAAAAAAAGGATTACAATGTAAAATCAAAGTACTGAAGTACTGAACATCGGATGACCACAAGTCCTTGTGGATGGTCAAAAGCACTTGTCTCAGGAAAAAAATCACATATCTCTTTACCTGAAACTGAAATTAATGTACAGAGAATTATTTTTTTTCTGAGACAAGTTTGTGTGTGGATGACGAATAAATGACAGGAAATTACACTTCACCGTAATAACTTTTATGTTGTAGTGATACAAATCAGTATACACTGATTTGTATACACTGATTTGTTGGTATATATTATATTAAAATAACAGTTACATATATATATGATTTCCATCCATTTGTATATCATTCTATTCTACTATTCTACTTATGATAGTGCAATGCAAGTGCATGGCGGACACTTTTCTGTAAAAATTCGATTTTTCTAAAAGTTTGGATACGAGTAACCATTCATATTTTCATATTTTCCCGCAAATTATATTTATTCAAACCGGAAGTCCGCTTATTGAGAATATTGTGTCACGTTCCCAGACTATCGGTACGTGTGCATTGATATAATCAATGATTTTTTACTTATATATATATAAATATATATATATACTACAAAACATTTTCATATTATTAATAATAACAAAAATATTTGTATCAGTATTCATTGAAGAGATGTTTTTATATCAAACGATAAGGAATGTTATTTTGCACTAGTTTATGTTCGCGTATTTATCATGTTTATAGATCGGTTAAAATCCCAAAACTAATTTGCATAATTTATGCATTAATGGAAATTTAGGCGATAGCAATACATCGAAATGACCTCAAGGTCATCGCGATGTAAAAAACCTATTTAACTCAAAAAAAATTATTACAATGTAAAACTATTATTGTAACAATGTAAACAAAAAATAAAACTTTTTACAATGTAAAACTATTACAAAGTAAAACTATTGCAACTAAAACTATTACAATGTAAAACTTATAATTACAATGTAAAACTATTACAAAGTAAAACTATTGCATGTAAAACTATTACAATGTAAAACTATACAAAGTAAAGCTATTACAATGTAAAAAATAACTATTGAAATGTAAAAAAACTAAAACAATGTAATAAAAACAACTAATGAAACAAAACCTTATGAACTTCGCTCATCAAATCATTTGAAATTATATAAATGAGTGAAAAGTTGTACATCATTGATCATGAATAAAAGGAGAATGCATCTACCTCAATGAGACAACTACCCAATGACATAAAAAATATGCATCAAAAACAAAAAATGGCCAGGTTGCAAATAATATTTTTTAAACAATGGATAATTTTTTGATAAAAAGTTGTGTACATCCTTGTCCTTATGTGATATATTGTTGCCTCATAGGCAATTATACCACATCTCCACATCTCCACATCTCCACATCTCCACATCCACATCCTTGTCCTTATGTGATATATTGTTGCCTCATAGGCAATTATACCACATCTCCACATCGCCATATTTAAATAATAAACGGAAATATAAAAATTATATAATAAACTGTTAACACAGATATATGTCTCGCCTATTTGTTATTTTGAAAATGCAAATGTTGAAATTAAAATAGCAATACATTTTTTTTTTTAAACAACATAATAATTTTATTAATCAAATATTGCTTGTTACATAAATCATCAAGATTCCAAGCTTCTCTTGACGTACCCTGTTATGATCCACTGACTACCCAGGGAATAGTCAGCTGATTAGATAAATTGACATACATTTTCTTTACAAAACATTATAATAACAATACTAGAAATATTATTCATTGATTATGTTCCTTTTAATTGTTAGTAACATTGGACTTATTGTCTTATGTCCATTAATATTGGTGTCTACTCTCTTAGTGTATTCATTGACAAAAATTCTGTAGACGTCTATGTTTTTTTGTTTTCTGCTCAGATACATAGTATGACTTATATATTGAAAAACTAAGTATTGTAATTAAAAAATTTATTGAGTAATATTTGTTGTCTGTGATTTTGTATCCAAATATCAGGTGTTCTAGTTTTATTAAAAAATCTATATCACTCCTTTTTAAGAGGTCGTAAATTTGCTGCCAAAATCTTGTCAAATAAGAACAATTGAAAAAACAGTGATCATAGTCTTCTTCTATGTTACAAAAATTACACATATTATTATTAGTTATTTTCCATTGTAATAAAAGCTTTTTTGTTGGTACAATAAACTGTAGTAATTTCCATCTGAATATTTTTAATTTATTTTCAGTTAAATATTTAAAAATAAAGTTACATAGTGAATTCATATTTGGAGCTTCTTGCATTGGTAGAATTTTAAGCCACCTGTTTATCCCTACTGACTGTTCTTTTTTACTATTCACTAGCGAATCATATAACATTTTATTTGAAAAACATGTAGTCTCAAAATAACGATATTTCCATGTGATCTTATTTCTCTTGACATTTACTGTACTTTGAACAGAATTTTCTTGTTTAACTATGTGAATCCAATTTTGTGGAAAAGCTTGTTTCAATATATGAAATTCTGCAATCCAGTTTACCTTACACTTTATTGTTTAAAATATATTTTTCTGATAATGACATAGTGTCATCTAGAATGTCATTTAAGTATATTATACTACTCTTAATCCAGTTTTCAAAGATAATTGGTTTATTATGAAATGTAAAATAGCAATACTTTAACATGTAAGTTATGCAAATATTCAAAGTCAATGAACCATGACTGAAGGTACAGGGCTAAACAATCTCCATGGAAATGAGATGTGCCAATGCTAATACAACTGCAAACCAAATACCATTGACTTTTCATAAGTCGTTCCCTTTAAACAAACCTAAACACAAACATTAACTTGTAAACTATGTAAAAGTTTCAAAGTCAATGAACCATAATTAGGGGGTGGGGTTATATAATCTCCATGGAAATGAAACTTGCAAATGCCAATACATTTGCATACCGATTACCGAATATCATTCACTTAGCATTAGTGGTTCATCTTGAACTGACCTAATCACAAACCAATACATGTAAACTAAGCAAAAGTTTCAAAGTCAATAGACCATGACTGAGGGGTAAGGATCAAATATTCTCCATGGAAATGAGATGTGCTAATGCTTATACAACTGCATACCAATTATCATTGACCTACCACTAACAGTTACCCTTAAACTGACCTAATCACAAACTAATACATGAAAACTAAGCAAAAGTTTCAAAGTCAATAGACCATGAATGAGGGGGCAGGGCCAAATAATCTCCATGGAAATGAGATATGCCAATACTTATACAACTGCATACCAAATATCATTGACCTACCACTAGTGGTTCCCTAAAACTGACCTAATCACAAACTAATACATGTAAACTAAGCAAAGTTTCAAAGTCAATAGACCTTGACTGAGGGAGCAGGGCTAAATAATCTCCATGGTACTGAGATGTGGTGCCAATGTTAATACAATTGCATACCAAATATCATTGACCTACCACTAGTGGTTCCCCATAAACTGTCCTAATCACAAACTAATACATGTAAACTAAGCAAAGTTTAAAAGTCAATAGACCTTGACTGAGGGGGCGGGGCCAAATAATCTCCATGGTAATGAGATGTGCCAATGCTAATACAACTGCATACCAAATATCATTGACCTACCACTAGTGGTTCACCATGAACTAGACCTCATCACAAAAAATACATTGTTGACGCTGCTGACGCCGGAAACAGCATACCTATGTCTCGCTTTTTGACTCAAATGAAACAAAAATGAAACACTATATGTTGATATAAAAAACACTACTGTAAATTCAGAAATTATTGCAATGTTTATATCAATGCAAAAAATGCAACAATTTCTGGTTCGCAATAATAAAAACTAGCATTCATAATTTCAGTAATGATGTTCCATCATTAAATTTTGGCAATCACATTAATTGGATATCATATCTTATCCAGAGGTCAAGGATTTGCAATAATAAATGCACACATTAATTTCTGAATTTACAGTATATATTCAAAATTAAGTAACAAAACATTGCATAGTTACATTTTGAACCACCCTGTCTGGTAGTCTGGATGGTTATGTGGTGTGCCAACTTTGACCAAATGACCCTCATGTGTGTTAACTGTTGCTTTACAGGATGCAATTGTACAACGCCAGTAAATTCTGTTGTTTCGTTTGGTCTTAGCACTGTAACGGTAACCTCCAAGGACCAAACTTGCTCTGCCAAACTTATTCTTTACATACTTAAGTTGTTGTGTTTTTCCCTTACTTGGTATTGAATCATTCCAGGACATTAAGTCAACCAACCTAAAATATAAACATTGAGTGCTTAGTATGTATCATTTGTTTATAAATAGAATACAGTAAACCAACTAATTTTCGCAAGCAATTTATTTTCATGAAAAGATAAAAAATAGTGAATATAAATCGTTAGAAAAAATGTGACACTTGGGTCTCCCCCAATATAAATTCATCAAGAAAATAAAAAAAACTTGAAAAAATAAATTGCGGCAAAGTCTGTTGAAAAGGGCTAAACGTGAAATAAATTATCCACGAAAATAATTTATTTTTGTGAGCAATTAATTGTTACTTCTTTCTCAGGTAGAAAAAAAAACGCAAATATAAATTGTAACCAATATGTAAAACTTAGGTCTTCTTTTTTATAAAGACTTCAAGAAAATTACAAAATAGGGAACATAAATCACCGTGAAGATGGCTCGAAAGAAAGTATCCACAAAATCAAGTTGGTTTACAGTATACAAACAGTCTACAACATCAATGTTTTCACATCATTTCTCAAGAAATAAATAGTCTTTGCCTTTTAATTTGTTACTGAAGTTACAAATATTGATTTACAAATCAAACCATAAAATACATATGACCAGTGAGACTGTTGAACACCAAATATGACTGTTAAAAAAGCTTTACGATGAGTTCTTTGTATATTTGAAAAAAGTGTGGGAAATCACTGATGTTTTATACAGTGCTTAGATTTTTATAATTTATTTTTTGGCAATAACTTGAAAAATCCTTCATGAACTCATTGCTTAATGAATAACAAATTAGGATTAATGATGTCTTCCTTAAAGGGTACTGCTACTGCGCCAGATTATGATGATACAAATTTTTCTTTTCATTTTAACTTTTAAGGTGTTAATCAAATAGTGTTGAGTGTCTGATAGGTGAATTTTAAGACTAGCTGTATATATATCTTTTGATAAACAAGTCTAAATTGAAAACAACATTCAAACCTATGATTGCATTGGATAAAAACCGCATTTTTTATACGTGTGAATGTAAAACAAATTTCTTGGTAGAGGGGTCTAAATACAGCACAAACAACATTTTCCAAAAGACCAAAAAGTGAAAAGTATATTTTAACAAAACGCATTTGACAAACAGGTCGAACAACTGATGTTCTTAAACCCTGCTGACTGCCATTGGCGATTGCCAAATAAATTGATCACCAGATGTTACATGGATCTTAATTATTAATTTTAATACCAAACAGAAAACAATAAAATTGCGAAAAGATGGTAAATCGCAAACATGAGGTGCAAAAAATTTATACACCATATCCGGATTTCGACAATTAATGTCTCTTCAGTGATGTTAGGGATCGAAATGGTATTTGGAAAACCATACAATTTACCTCAATTTAGGATTGACTCTTGAATTTTAAAGAGTCGAAATAGGATGAACGGATCATTTAAACCAGAAGGAAAATATAATACAAGCCCAAACGAAAAAATATAAACAAATCTAAATTGAAAACAACGTTCGAACCTATGATTGCGTTGTATAAAAAAACTGCATTTTTTATACGTGTGCATATAAAACAAATTTCTTGGTAGAGGGGTCTAAATACAGCACAAACAACATTTTCCAAAAGACCAAAAAGTGAAAAGTATATTTTAACATACTCGTGGATAGTGTCCACATGTGGACACAGATGATGCCCCCGCTTGCATATCATATAGTTATAAAGGGACATAACTCAAGAACGGTAAAAGTGACGCTACCCAAATTTGAACTTGATCTGAGTTTTGTGGTAATAAGCATTGTGTGTAAGTCTCATAACATTTGGTTGAGGCTAACTTAAGTAGAGAACAGAAACTAAAAAGTCAGCAATTTTACTATTTGTAAACACGCATAACTCTAGAATGGTTGTGTATAAGTTTTATAACATTTGGTTGAGACAAACTAAAGTTAGAGAACGGAAACGAAAAATTCAGCAATTTTTGTGTTTATAAAGGGAGGTACCTCAAGAATGGTAAAAGTGTTGCCACCAAATTTCGTACTCAATCTGTATTAAGAAGTAATAAGCATTGTGTATAAGTCTCATAACATTTGGTTGAGGCAAACTAAAGTTAGAAAACAGAAACAAAAAATTTGTACTTGATCTTAGTTTTGTGGTAATGAATATTGTGTATAGGTTTCATAATGTTTGGTTGGGGCAAACTTAAGTAACAGAATGGAAACTAAAAATTTTGCAATCTTTCGATTTATAAAGGGGCATAACTCAATAATGGTTAAAGTGACACTACCCAAATTCAACTTGATCTGTGTTTTATCAGTGGAAGTCAAAATTAAACATTGCATTGTATAAAGCATTAATTGTAGTTGATTCAACTATAATCATGGACAAAGGAAGATAACTCCTATTTAAAAATTACTTAATATTTAGAAGAAAATAAAAATTTTGCAATTTTTCAATTTATAAAGTGGCATAACTCTAGAACGGTTAAAGTGACGCCACCAAAATTTAAACTTGATCTGTGTTTTGTGGTAATAAGCGCTGTGTATAAGTTACATAACATTTGGTTGAGGCAAACTAAAGTTAGAGAACAGAAACGATAAATTCAGCAATTTTTCCATTTGTAAAGGGGCATAACTCTAGAACGGTAAAAGTGACGCCACCAAAATTCAAATTTGATCTGTGTTTTGTGGTAATAAACATTGTGTATAAGTTTCATAATATTGGGTTGAGGCAAACTAAAGTTAGAGAACGGAAACCAATTTTGGGACATACGTACGTACAGACGGACAAGGGTAAAACTTAATGCCCCCTCCGCTACGGAGGTGGCATAAAAAAACAATCTTTTATTGTAAAACTCTACCCTAAAGCAAGAACCTACTTTACTATTAGTATACTCTCTTTAACATAATAATAATTGAATATTTTAAATCTTTTACGTTTGAATGATAACTTTAAAGCCTTCTATTTTTCAATTAAAAAAAAAATTTTAAACTTAAACTGCATTCTGTAAACAAAAATATCTGTTTACAATTTTTCTTTCTCTATAACTCACTTCAGTTCTGATGGTGCGACTCCCTTGACACGGGCAGGTGTTGTGGTAATGTTGGAACAACAAGCTGGGATAATCTACATTCAGGGCTTCATCTGCATCTAAACTTGCCTCTAAACCTTTAACACCACCAAATACTACTAGTGCATGTCTGAAAACAGATGTTACAAATTGTCAAAAAGTAAGTTTAAAAAACCTATATAACTGAACAATCTGCTCCATGTTCCTCTTAGATTGATAAAAACTGAACAATCTGCTCCATATCTTAGATTGATAAAAATGAAAAAAAAACAAAAATAAACAAATGTAATTTGATATGATGAGCTGCATATAATGACAAAATTTTGAAAGGAAACATGAGAGTTATCCAACCAAAAGACCTAAACGACAGAAACTCTTGCTAAAATACAATATATCTAAATGGTAATATGGTGATCAAACTCTTAACATAACCAAACATCTTAGAAATAAGACATCTTCTTTACAAAAGTCCTTGGAGAGATTGTTTAGTTGTCATGTGACCAGTTTAATACACATAAAATTGATGTGGTTAAATATCTATAATCTAAACAGAAGACATGTGTAACCGGAGAGCATGATTCTACTTGCAAAATCGCATGTCTCAACCGGGACTCGAACCCGGGACCTTGTATCTTTTATTTTGACAGTCTATGAAAAAGCTTGGAGGCCAAAATATAGCAATTGAGCATTTTCTTTAAAATTATTGATGTAAATTCTATTCATTGTCCTTTATATTATCAATTTTGATTTGTCTGAATGGGAGGATAATATTCAAAAATTGAAATAGAGTAAACAAGTTAAACTGCGAGCTACTGCTCACTGATGATACCCCTGCCCAAATATTTCAGTAAACAGGAAGTTGTTGAGTGATGAATCTGAAAACACATCACACTGTATAGCCGACTTGTATAAACCTGAAACCAAATTTCAGAAATCCTTGTATTGTAGTTCCTGAGAAAAATGTGCCGAAAATTTTCAACTTCGCTATCATGTGTAAAATGATACAAGTGTTTAGTAAACAGGAAGTTGTTGAGTGATGAATCTGAAAACACATCACACAGTATAGCTGACTTATATAAACCCTGAAACCAAATTTCAGAAATCCTTGTATTGTAGTTCCTGAAAAATGTGCGACGAAAAAAATTTTCATGGGACAGATGGACAGACTGACGGACTGACGATGGATGGACGGACAGATGAATGGACAGACAGACAGAGGCAAAACAGTAAACTCCCACTTTTTTTAAAGCGTGGGTATAACCCCACTTTTTTAAAGCCGGGGTATAATAATCTCCCTCATTTTAGCCAATCAAAATCTGGCATTTTAACATAAAGTATAACAAATTTCGTTAACATATATTTTAGCATTCAATGTTATAACCAGTAGCACATCTACATTGGATCTTTGCTTTTTTGTCTAGGTCATTGAATAGAATGACTTTCTATATATAGAATAATGGCATTTTTGTTTTTAATAATGACTTCATCAGCAAGAATATCAAGCGAGCTCGTTAGGACAAGTTGATGAAGTCGGTAGCAAAAAATAAAATGCCATTATTCTTTTTATCAGCAATTTCTCTTAACTGTATTTTTTTTTTGCTTGAGAATATGAAGTAAAATGAAATAATAAGTAAAACTACTTTTTCGCATACAAAATGTTTGGATAGTTGTTCGGTTGTATGAATGAAGTCGTGTGCATTTCATTGATAAATTGAAGCGGATGGAAACGAACATGTGACGTTGCTGTACTTATACATTTTGGCATTGCCTAATATTTTCGAGTATCAAGTCCTGTCCATGATCTTGAAAATATATGGCAGTAAGATCAAAGGGAAATGTAAAAATTGACGATAATTAGACAGCACAGTGAGGATGAAAATAGCTGATACCAAATTACCATAGTTTGTACTGAAGAATTAGAAATTATACTTCTACTTAAAGACACATCTTAAATATAGTTAAATAGATTTTCCGATGTTGTAAATGTATCTATATGTGATCCCTTTTCTGAAGTACCAATGGCCAGATCATAACCAGATTTATATGGACACTCAGAAAACACGGCACCTACACTACTGGCTAATCTGACATTGTATCCCCAGTACAAATCAGCTTCTTTCTGTGGTGTAGATGGTGATACAACTATGCCTTTCCATTTCTTTTTCTCTATAAATAAAACAATACTTTGTTATCATTGACTGCATTAGTTCAAGGGAATAATTATTCATTTTAACAAGTTAAGAAATGTTGACCTGAAATGTCAAATCTGCAAATTGTAATAGAAAAACTGTATGGTGCAAATGTAAAACTCATGAATCACTTTTTAAAATAAAATGATTATTACACGTATGTTGCTATGTGCCAACTGTCTGGAAATAACATTTTATGTAACAGTTAACATTTCTTATCCTCAATTTAAAAGAAGATGTTCTGTTTCATGGACTTAATTGTGATGAACTTTGCAAATTATAATAAAAACTCAAAGTAGGTCGTAAAGATGGTTGTACATGATAGCAGTTGATATTTTGGATAGAATATATACATTGATTCAATCATAAAAAGTTGATTTCTAACAAAAGTTTTATCAATGTTCCTATTGAAATTTGATTTTTTTTTGTTTAGTTATAGAATACATTTAAGAAGATCTTAATTTGAAACATCATTATTTTCAAGTTCTTATTCATGTCAAACAAATTTTTTTTTAAAAGGAACAATGTTGAAAGTTTTGACAGAAATCAACTTTTTATGATTGAATCAATGTTTATATTAAACTGAATGAAAATATATTATTAATATCGAATAACTACATCATCACATGCAGTTAATGAGTATAAAAGCAGTATTTTTGTCTATATATAAGAAATTTTTTTTACTCAGGTAATTTAATCAATGAATGATAGATTTCTCTTAGAAGAAATTTAAAGGTCCCAGAGAATAAACTACACAGAGAACAATAGCTATTGTATCTATTCAATAGGACAGGTGAACTTGCAAAAGTTTAAATACCTGGTCAAGATAGAGATGGCACTGTGGAAAACTTTCATTGGGTTCGCAATAATAAGGAAATTGAACAACTAGAATATGGAATAAATTTTACCTGGATCTTGGTCAGATAATTTGACTGTAACTCTTATTCCTGGTTGTAAATGTTTATCTATCTGTACTTCTTTCTGTAAACATATAAACACAGTTTGTATGATCAACATTTATACTTGTCTGTTGTGTGATTCATACAATTCTAGGCTTTTTTGTGAAGCACAACATTAGTGTTATCTTGGAACCAAATTATTTAAACCTAATCTTGCTGTAGTTGTTGCAACTTAATACAACAAATATGGCAATTTTGACAATTATGTAATTTAATATTGATAACACCAAAAACTTAAAACTTGAAAATGATAGTTGAGACTTTTGGATTCATATTATCATCAGTTTCATTTATAATATAAGGAAAGTTTCAGAATTTGTGCATTGTATCCAAGCATTTTTTATGACATGTAGATTTACAAAAAAGTGAAATAAACATATGAAATTCTCAAGTACAGTTGACTGGAGTTATCTTAAAACCGCAAGAGTTATAATATTTCAACTCAACTGAAGTTCGACTCGAGAGGAGCTTATGTAAAAACAATCAAGGGGAGACAACTCAAATTTGCACTAGATAAAACCAGAATTGTGTATCTGATTGATCTAGTCATGTTTTGTACTGGTGAACATCAATTAGATATATGTTTTTCATTTGAGGCAGTGTTTTAGTTTTCTGAAGTTTTTAAATACTGTATTGTTCTAATTATGCAGCTGCTGCTTTGAAACAAAAAGTACAATATATCATGTTTGTGAAACAAAAAGTACAATATATCATGTTTGTTTGAATATTACTAGTTTCAAACAACAAATATGGCAATTTTGGCAATTATGTAATTTAATATTGATAACACTGAAAACTTAAAACTTGAAAATGATAGTTGAGACTTCTGGATTCATATTATCCTCAGTTTCATAGATAATATAAGGAAGGTTTCAGAATTTGTATCCAAGCATTTTTTATGACATGTAGTTTCATTCTGACCCATTCTTTACATACTGTTTAAATATATAATATATGTAATAGATTTACCTTTGGAAGACCAACATTAGCAAAAGATCCCTTGCCAGTCTTCACAGGTTTATCTAACACTACACTCTCTCCGAACTGGCAATTGTCGTCTGCTCTCATGTGGTGGGGACTATCAAGTGGATTCAAAATGCCTGAAAAAAAAATAAAATTGGTCTTGACCAACTGAACATTGATTGCTATGGTTCTGATAGCATAAACAAGGAGATTTTTAAATCTACAACAAATCTAACTTAAATAATACTTTGTAAGTACACATGTATATAAAATTGGTTGATGCTGCTTCTTTGCCAACTTGCAGCATTGAGCAGTAAGAGCAAAGAATGGTGTTAGCATCTGAATTAGCATGTAATACCCTAGTATTTGCTGCTGGAAGTTAAGCAGCCATCAATTCACACCTTGACCTACATTTCTTAGGGTAAATGACTCTTTTAAAAAGTAATTATCTGTTGTCATGTGCACTTATATTCATAATGATTTCACCATGCTACATCTTGTACATGTGGAAATACATAAAAATAAATGGAGAATGTGTCCCCATGGACACAGATGATGCCCCCACTTGCATACAACATTATAAAGGGACATAACTCAAGAACAATAAAAGTGACACTACCCAAATTTGTACTTGATCTTAGTTTTGTGGTAATAAGTATTGTGTATAGGTTTCATGTTTGGTTGGGGCAAACTTAAGTTACAGAATGGAAACTAAAAATTTTGCAATTTTTCGATTTATAAAGGGGCATAACTCAATAATTGTTAAAGTAACACTACCCAAATTCAACTTGATCTGTGTTTTATCAGTGGAAGGCAAAATTAAACATTGCATTGTATAAAGCATTGATTGTAGTTGATTCAACTATAATCATGGACAAAGGAAGATAACTCCAATTTTAAAAATTACTTGAACAATGACATCATTGATATTTTTAGAAAAAAAATGAAAAATTTAGCAATTTTTCAATTTGTAAAGGGGCATAACTCTAGAACAGTAAAAGTGACGCCACCAAAGTTCAAACTTGATCTGTGGATTGTGGTGATAAGCATTGTGTATAAGTATCATAATATTTGGTTGAGGCAAACTTAAGTTAGAGAACAGAATGAAAAATTTTGCAATTTTACTATTTATAAAGGGGCATAACTCTACAACGTTAAAGTGACGCTACCAAAATTCAAACTTGATCTGTGTTTTGTGGTAATAAGCATTGTGTAATGTTGGATAACATTTGGTTGAGGCAAACTTAAGTTAGAGAACGGAAACCAATTTTGGGACGTACAGACGTACGGACGTACAGACGGACAAGGGTTAAACTTAATGCCCCCTCCTCTATGGCAGGGGCATAAAAAGTTTGTACGCGTTATGACCTGAGATTTTCTTCTTCAATGCAGGTCATGACCTGCATTTTCATTTTCATAGGTTGACAGGTATGCCAATAAGTAAGAATAAAATTTATAACAAGAATTAAAATCAAGGGGCTTCTAAGAGACTAAATCACTCATCTGTCAAAATATATCTTGCATTGCAGATTTTTTTTTCTGTTTAAAGTTTCTACCCGTCTAATATTGTTTTTGAGATAATAGGTAAAAACTAGAAAAATTAATAAAAAAATCTTGTGATATATCCAATTTTTACTGATAAATATCAAAATCAAATGAATAATTACAAATTTCTTTTCATAGCATTGCATAGCGATGTATAAACAACAAAACATTAACAGTCATTTGTTCTGATTTGGTGTTTCATACAACTGCATGTGTTTTGTTTTAGCTAAAGGTTCTTCACATATAAATGTGATGAAAAAATTGAATGTATCTTACTAAAACTGCACTGTTTTACTTTCAAAGTCGTATTTCTTGTAATTAGATATAAGAAGATGTGGTATAAGTGCCAATGAGACAACTCTCCATCCAAGTCACAATTTGTAAAAGTAAACCATTATAAGTCAAAGTACGGTCTTCAACACAGAGCCTTGGCTCACACCGAAAACAGCAAGCTATAAAGGGCCCCAAAAATGACTAGTGTAAAACCATTCAAACGGAAAAACCAACGGTCTAATCTATATAAAAAACGAGAAACAAGAAACACTTATGAACCACATCAACAAACGACAACTACTGAACATCAGATTCCTGACTTAGGACAGGCGCAAACAAATGCAGCGGGTTTAAATGTTTTCATAGGTACCAACCTTCACCCTTATCTGAAACAATAGTGTAATATCACAACATAGAAAGACACACTATAAAATATCAATTGAAATGGCTTAACTGAATCAAAAGACATATTAACACAATTGAACATACACTGAACGAATAAATTTGATCTATGATACAATGTAAATACAAAATCAATAAAATAAGGGGTGAATAAATAAAGGCAACAGTAGTATACCGCTGTGAGATGTTAAACAATTTAAAAAAAAAAACAACAACAACCTTGAACAAAAAGCCGCCAAATACAATTATATACAAAGGGAAATGAAAATAATTTTTTTGTAAGGTATACAGTTTAAATGCAGAACGGAAATATTTTTTACAAAATAAATAATTTTGTTGTTCAAAGTACGAAGGAGTGAAAATTTATAGTCATACCAAACACTTATCAAAGCTGGTATACAGACGAGATATAACCCTGAATAAGTAAAAATTAAATAACAAAAAAGCATTACAAATAGTATCAACAGGTCAAATTAATATCTATTAAGTATGGAATTTCATCACACTCTCAACTTATTTGTTTGTGATTTACAAATTCTTTTCCTATCTCCGTTAATGACAAAGACAACTTTTCCAGTTGTTCTTTTTTTTACAATTTTGGCTTATTTTAACACTTATGTTCTAGAATCATTTACAGCTATTTTCAACTTCTACTTGATCATGAAAAACAGGAACAAATGTAACTACTGCAAACAATCACACATGACTTGAAAATACAGAGTTTTACTACATGTTTTCAACAAGTGACAAAAAGTTTTTTCCTGAATTCCTGTGGCAAACAAAGGTGTGCAGATTATGTACCAAAAGGGATTATACATGGCCGATTACAATATAAATTAATAAAACTGTTTTCAAGATATAGGACAATTAATGCAATTTATCATCATTTTCTTTTTGTAGCCATATCACCAATGTTTGTTGAATGACGCCAGAATACAAAACACAAACTTTATATAAGTTAGTCCTTAATGATTATTCATCCCAATTTTGTTTGAAATTGGTTCAGTCGTTTCAAAGGAGAAGATCTTTCAAAACTTTAAAACAGAAGAAGACTGATAACAAAAGTAATATTTATAACTCACTTGGCCCATAGGCTCAGTGAAAATGATAAAAATAGTGAATAGAAAGTACTTATTGCTCCATTGTTAAGAACAAATCTAAATTATCAAATTTTAGTGATCTAAACTGTTGTAGATATCTCATGTACTGCAGTTTAATTGATATTTGTGGGTACTATTTTGTCTAGATTTAAGAAATATTATAATTTTGAGGATTTTTCAAGAAAGGAGAAGGTTCGGTAAGGGCTAATTTTTGCCTAAAATTTGAAGTACATTTGATAAAAGATGTTTGACATTTTTTAAACACATGAGTGTCTACTTCAGTCGTTTCAGTTAGTTTAAGTAAACGATTTAAACTGATTTGGTCATTAAAGACACTCAAATTCAAGCTTAGATATGAAAAATCTGTCAGATATGCCATAAAACGTCACTTTTCAGACAGTTTTTGTCTAAAATGTAAGTGGCCGCATTCGTGTTCAGTCTCCACCTTTATATATGTTTAATATGTTTAATCATCAAATACAACATTTAAATATTAAGACTGAACACAAGTGCGGCCACTTCCATTTTAGACAAAAACCGTCTGAAAATTAGCACAAATGCTAAAATTGTGAAAAATTTGATAACTTTGCATGAATTAATTATGCTAGTAGTACACAGAACACCACCAATTGCAAGCCTGTCACTAATTTCTTCGTTCGACCAAATGATGAAGGTAAAATTTTGAATAAATCATTAACTATTTTTATAGAACTATGGCACAACTGTTTTAGTCTTTTTTCTCTTTTAATAAAT